GCGTTGTGATACAGGAAGAGTGGGACAGCTTTGGTGGACATGGAGCAGGAAGAACAGCGCAGCCCTGGTGGAAGGTGTGTTCAGAGGAATAAGGACACAGGTCAGGAATCAGATTTGGGGGCCTGAGGAAAACAGGAGGTGAAGAGTGAAAAGATTGTGCAGATGAATGTTAAGGGGTACAGATAACAACTTTGTGACAAAGTGGCTTGGTAATGGAGGGAAACAGCTGCCCCTTTGTAGCATCCACTGTTGTTTCTGTTGCCATGGGTCTTAGTGGTATGCGGGGTCTGTCTTGTGCAGTTTGTAGGGCTGGCCATGCAGGAAGGGTTCCCTGTGGGAGTTCAGTTCCTGAGGAAGCTCTAGCTCTTCTCTGCCTCCCTAGGGTTCCTCGTCCCCCTCTGCCTCTCCATGGCAAGAGGGAAGTACTGCAAAGATACCAGGCTGAGGATAAGGACAGGGAGAATGGGAAGGGAGGGCAGTTGAGCAAAAGAACAAGTACTCTCAGTTATTGGTATTCTTAAAAATAATTTTACATATTATTGCAGTGATTGCTGACCCACTTTTCCAGTGAAGAGAAAAATCTTTTAGTAGAGAAAGCATTACTATTTTCTGTGGGTTTGGGATGTGTGAGAATTGATTACTTAAATACATATCTAACTAAATACGGTGATTGACGTTTTTCTGCATGGGTTATGGCTTTTTATCTGTTAACAAGAAAGCTGATATAGTCTTCCAATATAAAAATCCTTATGGCTCACCCACATCTGTGTATGAAACATCACTGCAGACAAGTTGCATAACTAATAAGAGAGCTCAAATGTTCATTGTTGTGCCTTTTATAGCATGGAAACAGAAAATGATGGTCAGCTATAAAAGAGATGGATAATGTTAAAACACAAGCATCTAGCATTTCTTCTCACAAATGTGGCACAGTATGAGTGAATTTTGTATTTGAAGGGCTTGGAGATTTTGCAGATGTTGCCTTTTCCACCTGAAATTACCACACAGAAGTTGACAGATGAACACAGATTTTAAGGACCACTGAAAACTGTTTGCAGGTGGCCTGGGTTATTATTTAGGTCTTAATTTGTGGGTTTGCTTTCTTGAGTTTGACAATGCAAGTACTGGATTTTCATAATAAAAGCTAATTTAATTGCTGTCCTTGCTATATCTGACCTTGCTGTCAAAGGATCTGTCAGTTCTGCTCTGAAATTCTGAGTAAAGACTGTTGCTAGATGAAGCACCTTAAAATGAATGGAAAGCCTGGTTTAAAGGCAATGGGTAAAAATTCAGAATTACTTATATCTCTTCAGGTTGATGATTGTGTTTTTTTCTGTGTGTTTCTAGCAGTATCATTCTGATACTGATTTTGCCTTTAATTACTCATATTAACTACCATTTTAAATGAAAATAAGAAGTAAACGTGAAGAGGGACAAATTGTAGCACATCTGAGAAAGATGAAAAAGAAAGAAATGGGTGAAGCCATTTCAGAGATTACATGGTCAGCAAGAGAAAAATGGAAAAGTTAAAGCTTCCCTCTGCACTTCAGCAAATGAAATACTCTTGATCTCATTGATACTTTTGTATGTGGTCAGGCCTGTAAAAGGGTTTGAAATGGAATGGAAAAAAACACTGGAAGTTGGAAGAACATCTACATATAACATGCATCCACGTGAAAAACATCTGGCTCTGTGTGCCCTGAGAGAGTGGTGCCTGCGTGATGGGGTTAAAGTCTAATCAGGGCAGACTTGAGCTGAGTGGAGTCTGCCTCCTCCTCACCTCTCCACACCATGCTGGATGTTTCCTGTTTTCTGTACTCTGCAGCCTTGCTTAACTGTCTCAAAGTCCAGCTTGTTCATCCCTATCTAATCAGAGGTATTGTTTATTAAGAGGTTTGTTTTCCCTATTCACCTACAGCCCTCACCCCCAATGCTGGGAGCCTGGCCTTTAGCTCCACTGCAGGAAATCACCTGTATTTCTGGCTCCACAGTTGTGTCTGCAGACATGTACATCAGGGAGGGTGCTGGGCAGAACAGACTCAGGCCCACAAATTGCATGGAGGGGATTGCACAGGGAAGGTTTCCTTGCTTTTTGTTTTTGCGTCTTAAAGCTGGGCTGCAATAAACACCATTACTTGGAATGAAAAACAGGCAAGCACATAACATTACTGTTATGTTACCAAACCCCAGATCTTTGTAATAATTTCAACAGTGGGGTTAGCAAACAAGGGTACAACTTCAAATCAGGCTGTCAGTGGCAACGTTTCTGGGCTGTGCAAAATAGCTGTAACAGGACATGAAGATAAATGCAGTAATGACGCTGGTCTCTGTGCCCTTCTGTTGACATTCTGTTTTTAAAAAAGCAAGTAGGCAAACAACTGGCTGCTATAATGGGAGACACTTAACTGTTTATTACTTGTTTATCTAAGCAGCACCTAGTCCCCCAAAAAAAGCACACTTAGGTGCTGCATTGTAACATTGGCATACAATTTGCGAAATACAAACTACAACAGATGTCTGAAGTGGATCAGTTTGCTGAAAAGACCTTTGTAGATGTGGTTTCTGCACTGCTGGAGGAACACTGGACACCATGGCAGAAGTTCAAAGAGAAAGCAGGCACAGAAGAATACACAGGTGGCCAGAGGCTTACTAACAGGGTAAGAAAATGTAATACTGTATTTCTTTGTCAACATTAAAAAATCACCAGTGGTTATGCAGCTGGGAATGTGGCATTCATAGCTTGCCATGCAGAACAAAGTCTTGGAAATGGACATGTATATTGCTGACTCCTAGCATATGGGTGTATGAATAAACTGGCTGATGGGGCGGATTCTCTCAAAGCATGAACTGTCAGGACAAGACAGTTTGTGGAAATGAAGTAATTGTAGCAACAGAGACACATGCAGTGAAGAAGCGTGAACCATGGAGTACCTAATTCTATATGCATTTTTGGCAGATGTATGTTTCACTGAAGATTATTCGGAACCATATGTTGGGCCCTGCCATCTGCTGAATTTGGATACGACGTCTGTAAAGCTGGTGTGGAAATACACAAAAAGAAACTCTCAACTTCAGGAGAGAAACTGCCAGTGCCTTTGTAACTACAACTGTCTCCCACAGAAAATTACCTTTTTTATTTTGTAAAATTGCCTTTCTATACAAAAGTATGCTAATGTTAAATTCCAGGAGTTAGAGCTTCATTTTATTTCAGGTCCCTATAAAAATGCCTCAGTATTTGACTGGAGAAGGGCCTGAGCAACATGGTCTAAGACGACCGGCTTTGAGTGGGGAACTGGACCAGGGATCTTCAGAGGTTGTTTTCAACCTGAATTGTTGTAGGATCCAAATTACTACATCCACACAGATGCAGGAACAAAGAAGTATTTTTCTTAGTCAAATATAGTAAGGGAAGGGATGGATCTGCAAGTCAGGAAAACGAACAGTGGCATACAGGGAGAAGAGACAATGGAGTTTTAATAGAAAGGTTGTTTATTTGGTAGAAAGTTAGCCTGTAAATATCTTTAGAAAAAAGTAATTCATCCTGCATCCAGCCAGATTGCTGTTGAAATGCCCAGTCTGGTGATTCACAGCTCCTCTCAACTGAGAGGAAGGCCTTCGCCTTCTCTCTTCAAATGCAGTGCCTTCTCACTTAAGACATTGATACCTACCATAGTTAGAAAATCCTCTTGGGCTTCTAATCTAATAGAGACTTACCAATTTATGCTTTCTGTTCTGCCAGAATCATGCTTATGTTGGACATGCCTTGAAAACAAAGGTAGTTTCTGTTTAATAACATCCCCTGTATTGTCTTGGACAATAATGCCTTGAGTCTGGCTGTCTGACCCATCAAGAACGAATCCTCTTGTGCAAGCAGTAGTTGCTGTGTTGAAATATAGCCTCTGAACTATTGGGAATGAATCAACGCTCAAGAAAATCCATATTGTTTAAAAAATAGGCACTAAATTTGTTTTAATGTGAATCAGACCTAACTCTTAAGGCCATGTTTCAAGGAGTTAATGCTAAGCCTTGAACTGTACACTGCCTGAGGTATGGCAACTCAGCTCCGCTCACCTGACAGGAAAGAGAGGGGAAAGGCTTTGTGTTTCAAACTGCATTTTTAGCCCAAACTGTGCAACAAAATCCGATGGGAATTAAGAACTCACAGTAACCTCCCCTTTTCAGTTCCAAGGGCGAAGTACACTTCCCTGACTTGTCATTTCTAATGAAACGTGGCACAGAAAACAGAAACAAAAATCAATCTACTTGTGAAAGTTCAGAGGCAGCAGCTGAAGGAACACTCACCTAAGAGGCCACTTTGGCATGGTGGGCACTGAGCAACTACCCAAGTAACAACGAAATAGCCCCCAGCAGGCTCAGTAAGAGAAGCACCTCTGCTGTGAAGGTGAATTGGACACTTAAGGAAATTATTCCAGAAGGACCTGGAGAATTTATTAACCTGCTCCTTGCACAAAGGAGTTCATTCTCAGTGGGTTTATCTGAAACTCTCTCACTCGCACGTTCAAGTTGTAGGCCCTCTGCGTGTTGTTTGGTCTCCCAGTCAACTTCTCTTGTCTCTTATACCCTGAAAATTGTCTTCCAGCTTGGAAGGGATGCCTCAAATTCATGTTCTTAATTTTCAGCTATGAAGTTCAGTGAAATTACTGACCTACCCTGGACTTCTGGGATAACAAATAAAGTACTACTGGGCAAACAAGGAAAATAACTTTGAGCCAAATGGATAAATCATTTCCCACATCAAAACATTTATTAACTGCATATAGTTAGTTGGTTTCTTTTCTAAAGTTTCTTTCTTTCTTTTCCTTCCTCCTTTTTCCTTTCCCTATCCTATTTATTGTACTTTGCTGTGCAATTTTCTTTGCAAGAATGAGTATGAATGGACCCTCATGAAAAGAACAGGGCATTGTCCTGGATTTGTATAGTACAAAGATAGAAAAAGAGTCAAGAGAAAGCACACCACCGAAGAGGCATAAACAAGCACACTGTATTTCCTCACATGTGCAGGCACTTAGCGGAATAAATGACACTCAAATCCGGCCATCTTAACCATACTATAGTAAAGCCTGAGAATAGGTTTGTCCCCCTACCACTGTGCAACCACTCGGGTATCTTTGGGTTCTTCAGCAGCTGGGGATAAATCGTGGTTCTGCCTGTGCAATTTTTCGTGTGTGCTCTTGACAGGAGAGATGCTTTGCTGTTGGAATGGCATGGAATCCACAAGCAGTTTTTATTCACATCTGATTTCCAAAGGTGTTATAGAAGTATCCCAGCTGATTACTAGGAGAGCAAAGCACTGCTCCGTGCTGTGATGCCATTTCTCAGCTAACTTGCATGATGCATTTGTGTTGTGTGTCAACACCCATTGTGCACTGACAGCTGGAGGTTTGCAACTTTCTTTGGTTTAATCTCTCAAGAATTTTATGTCTTTCATATCTACAACCAGACTTGTTTAGAGCTTAAGGCATAAATCACGTGGGAGAGACTGGGGAAAAGAAGATTCAAAGTAGAGCTCTTCCTTCACCAAAAACAAAAAACCAAACAACTCCCAATGACCAAAACTCAACAAAAATATTGTACTTGGATCACTCCAAAGCTAGCAAGATGGTTTCAAAACCAGTTCAACCAAACTCCACATATAAATGCATTTGATCAAAACCCACTAAAGTCAAGGTGGGCTTTTCTTTAGACATAAACATTTTGGTGCCAGTTTTGATTCTGTATGAGATCTCTGTCATCTGCATGGTTTTATATTTAATTGTGCCCACAGCTGTGGTACAAAGTACCAATCCCAAATGCCTAACAACCAGAGCTGATGAAGTTAACGGGTCAGTGTCAGAGTGGCCCCTTATGTGTTGTGCTATTGTTGCTTGCTTTTATGAACAGCTAGCTGTGTTTCCTATGGGTGTTTTGCTTGCTTCCAGGACCAGTGAATGAACCACTTAGGCTGAGCTGTGAATTACAGCTACAAAATGAAACAAGGATCCTGCACGATAGTGGAACCTGATCTCATCTTTGCCTCTGCACTGATAGGAAGTCAAGGTAAATTCATGTTGAACGTCTAACTCCAATCAGCAACTGATAAGGCTTCTTTTAATGACCTGGATCCACTACAGCTGGTGATGATACCAACCAACACAGTACTCCTCCCGTATTGTTTATAATGTCTGTAATGTATCAGTGAAAGCGTGCATTTGTGACCTGGCTGTGTAACACCAATGGCTGTTAGATTCTGTCTTCCTATTCCTAGCTTCAGAGGTGACCTTTAATGAAGCAGCGGAGGCTTTGTTTTCTCTGATCCAAGAAGAAGGAATGGGAAGGGTGGAGGTGCAGATAGGATCTGTATGGGGAGACAGTAACAAATAGAGCCTTCATAAAAGGCAAAATTTGTGGGAAAGTTCACATAAACCACTGCTGGTTTTGAAAGGTCTGCTCAAAACCACAGCTTTGAAACAGAGGTCAGAGATCAGACCTCAGTAAGGATGGGAAAATAAGGGCTTTTTCTTCCTCACTAGCTTAAATTTGCAACGTTCACTTTGTCCAGCATTTCTGTTGCCCTAAGGTGAGGATTTCAGTGTAAAGGAGAGTAGGCAGTACAGCTGTTTGTATTGGTGTGAGCGCTTTTCCCTAAGAATGATTAAGGAGAGCAGACAACCCACACCCTCAGCTGGAATCCTCCACTCCCCTCCCACATGGTGCATCCTGATTTGTTCCAAGGATTTATTAAATAGGGTCTGCATGTACGTAAGTTTATTTTTTAAGAAACTTTTTTTTTTTTAAAAGAGAGTTATTCTTTGTCCACCTGGAGACACAGGATGCCCAGTGCGAGCAGCACAACATCTGAGTTTGCACCCTGTCTCTCTGCCCAGTGGCAAGTTCTCTGCACTGTGTGTCTGGGAAGGCATGAACAGATCACAGCAGTTTTGGGTTGTCGTTCAGCCGAAGGCTGGAATACATCCCCACATGCCGGACCAGGTTGGGTTCCACCACGTAGGCATTCTCCCCCTTGGTACGCAGCAGCGAGTAGAGGGCAATATCCTTAGCAAAGCCCTGGCGGCAGTGCAGCCCCTTCAGGTAACCTAAGGCACGGCGGGCAGAGGGAGCGGAGAAGAGCATGGCAGGCGTGCAGCACTCAGTGACCGGCACGATATTATACAAAGTGGGGGCCAGCCGGCGCAGCTCCAGCACCTAATGCCGCCCCACCAGCTCTGACAAAGCCATACTGTACAATGCAAAGAACAAGACAATGGGCCAGTTGAGGCTGGGGCGCCCAGTTGCCCAGCCAGCCGGCGCAGCTCCAGCACATAATGCCGCCCCACCAGCTCTGACAAAGCCATACTGTACAATGCAAAGAACAAGACAATGGGCCAGTTGAGGCTGGGGCGCCCAGTTGCCCAGGAGTACACGCAGTTCAGCACGGGCCCCAGAAACATGCCCAGGCCCAGCCACTCCAGGATTCTCATGGGCTCGGGGTTGAAGTAGCGCTGAAGCCTCTCGGGATGGTAGAGCTTGAAGTAGAGTGCGTCTTTGAGGTATGGTTTGGAGAACCGGGCCAAGAAGAAGTGTTGCAAGACAGCAAATATCTCCTCCTCTGGCACGGCATCATCTTCCACTATGAGGACGTATTCTGGGTTGTACATCAACAGCGACTGCTCAAGGCAGAAGACATAGTCCTGCTTCTCTTTCTCAAACTGGTTCACTCTTGGGTCGGGGTTCTCCCTGGCTTTGTCACGACTGACCATAGGAAAGAAGCTGCTCAGCAGCCTGACATCCTGATGGCTACTGGGGTCTGACTCCACGTTACAGAGGAGGATGCGGTGGCTCCGGCAATGTGCACCGCACTTCTGGAGGAGGCGGTGGAAGTGGGAGGCCACTTGCAAGACATAATGGAAATCATTCCGCCTCTGCACAGTGATAATGGTGACCAGCAGCAACGGCTGAAAGGTGTCACTGCCAGAAGCCTCGGAGGCGTTTGGTATCTGCAGCTTCTCAAAGTAATGGAGGGCAGCCTGGCCCTCCTGCTGGTTCTGCTCCAGGAACTCCTGGCTCATGGGGTTCAGGTGCCAGCGCCGCAAATAGAAGTAAGAGTGGAGGAGCCGGTGGCAAACCAAAGGTGCAAGCACACCGAATGTCACCACAGTCAGCGTCAGGAGATGGACAAAAGGACTGGACCAACGGCACCACCTCCCATAGAGCTGCCAGGCTTGGTGTAACATGGCTGTTGCAGAAGGAGGCACCCCTGCTCCCTGCTCGCTTCATGCCCTCATTCCTTCACTACCAATGCATCCTCCTTGGGTTGCAAGGCATCGCTGGGGCAGTGGCTGCCAAATCCGCACAGTTTGTCCAGGCCTACAGAAGAAGAAAAAAAGATGATTAATGAAATAGGAACTGTGAAGAGTGGGAAGACTGTGATTTGAGAAAATGGAAAGCTGAGGGCTAGTCACCGAGTAAGCCAAAATAAGAGGCCCCTGAGGAGCTCCTTGTGGCGGGGGCATCACAGAATTGTTGTGGGAGGTTGAGGAAAGATGAGCCAAACTTAAGTTTCCAGCAAAGTGCCCCTAAGGCCTTTTCAGCAAGCAGGAGCTGTAGTCTGACTTAGCTAGATAGGACTGTGTTGTCCTTGTTATGATGCTTCAAATGCGTAACAAAGAGGCAACATGGATGGAGGATGTGTGGAAATCCCTTTCTGTTAGGTGCAGAGAACTTAAATACCACTGTCTGGTCACAGTGACATAGTAAGACTTGGGTCAGAGCCAAGAACCAAAGCCAGATCTCTTGTATCTTAGCCTAGCACATATTTGAGAGACAAACTTTAACTTCTGTGGAATGACACATGCTTCCCGTCTGTTGCTCGCACACTTCCAAACGCATGCTTTTTCACTTCACCCAGAGTGTGAAGCAATAGAACAAAAGATACCAATTTACTTTACTAAGGGCATGCGTACACCAAGTGTAATGTGTGTGTCTCTCTCTCAGATGTCGCCTCTTCTCTAAACCCTGTGAAATAGTCACAGCAAGATTCACAAGTTGTAATTGAGCCATTGACTCATATTTGTTATTTAAGAGTTTGTAATTTAAAATTATATGCCTTTAATTTTGAACTGAAACATTTCTATATATATACACATATATATATTTATACATACACACACCTTAAGCAAACATCCACCTTCACAAAAATCAGATTTTGCCATATTTGGCTTTTCTGTTCTGCTTCTCTGGGCTGCCATGAACACCTAACAGCCTGGCTGTCAGAAGCTTACACAAAATCAGGGCAATTAGGCTGCTCAGATGAATTCTCTTGTGCCAGTAATTCCCCTTTTTAAACTGTTGTTCGGCTCTCTTTTTTAATTTCCATTCCCTCTCCTTATGAACTGCGTTATTCATGTCACCCCCCCAGCTGACTAACTGTGCCCCATTCAGTGGAGAGTTTCTCCATTTTTAACCTTCTGCCTTCACCAAGTTCTGATCATCCAGTGATGCTTCCAGACCAAAATGTTACCCTTTTTTTCTCCCCTGCACCATCTTCTGAAGCAGACTAAACAATGATGTGTGGATGAAAAGAAATCAGGGTCATGGCATTTTTCCTCTGTCTCAGAAGAATGGACCATGTAGAAGGAAAGACTCAGAGGACACTGAGCAGGGTCTAAATCTGGCACTACTTCTAAACTGCCTTCATTACTGTAGTCACAGATTTGCTGTATTTACCATCATGAGAACTGCTTCCTATTGCCACATGGGAATCTGACAATCTTATATGAAAGGCGTTTTACTACGATTAATGGAAAATATACACAAGTTATTCCAAATATTTGTTAGAGATCAAGCACTTCATGCTGTGAGATCTCAAACTGTCCTTGGATAGACTCTGGCATCAGTGTTAAGCTATCTTATGGTTCATGAAAACACAAGACTCTGAGCAACCTGATCTAGTTAGCGGTGTCCCTGCACACTGCAGGAGGGTTGGACTAGATGACCTCTAAGGGTCCCTTCCAACCCAAAACATTCTATGATTCTATGATTCTATAAGATTTAGTGTCATTAAATAGAGATGACAAATCTACAGACTGATGCATGAGAATCTGCAGTGTCTTCCCATATAGCTTTTTTTTTTTTTTTCCTTTCTAATTACACAGTCCTGTTTCACAGACGCTGCATTGTATTGCATCAGTGGACTTTGTAAAGGTTTTAAGGTGATGGCTGCATTTCAGACCCCAGATCCAAGCCATGACAATTCAGGACATGAAGACCTGAAATCCATCAGATGCAAAAAACTGGCATTTAAATGCACTTATTCATCCAAAATGCAGGGCCTGCCTTTTTCTCATTTTCTGCTAACCAGTCACAAACACTAAGGGAACACGCAAATGCAGAATCACATTCTACAACTCACACTGACATACTTCTGAGCTGCCTCCTGATGGGAGCAGCATTGTTGGCACCATTGCCGAGCCAGCCTCCAAACTTGAAAGTGAGGACCACAGTGGGAAAAGGAGGTGAGGAGAAGCTAGAAGGCAGTTTAGTTCTTGGGGGGTAAAGACACGTACTTTCCATCTGCCAGCTACGCTGGAGATCTGACCTACAAAAACTATGAGCCTGCAGTGAGCTCTGTAGCCCTGGGGATATAGGTTGAAGCATTAATAATCCCTGCCCAAGCAAGAGGCCTCCTCCCTCAATATCGTCTTCTACTGAAACAGGAGAAATGGGAGAAATGGGCACAGTGTCTGCCCTGCAGCTGCAGGAACAGCAGGCTCGCATCCAGCTGAGCCCCCGGGGCTGTAGCCCCAGCAGGCGAATCGGGGGGGAAGCTTGCCTGAGGTCTGGCTCTTCTGCAGTCCATGTCGTTCCAGGGTCAGGCTCGCCTGCACCTGAGAAGGTGCTGCCCAGGTCCCTGGGGGTGGACTCCCTTTCAGTCTGCTGCCCACCCACCAGTTCTCCACCGGCCCTGCCCGCTGCGAAAGCTGTTCTAGGACTCCACCTAATGGTGTTCCGGCTCCTGGCACATGGTCGGGTAGCTAAGGTGGCACAGGCATCTCCTCGCTTCATACAAGCATGCAGCCAACTCAGAAAAAGCACTCAGGACTGGACGCCAGCCATGCAGGTCACGGTGTCACACTCACAACTCGTACGGTCACGCTCACAAGCGCTTCTGACTGACCCTGGCTCCCCCTCACCAGTAACACAACTCAAGATCTTGGAGCTCCTATTCTGGTTTTGCAACTCAGAACGCCTCAAGGAAAACAACCTCCTCCCTGCTTTTCGGTTGTAACACTGGGAGCCTAAGAGTTCCAAACCTAGACAGAAATGTCTTGCTTTGACAGAGGTGAAGTTTGATCTTACCTGCAGGACTTGCATCCAGAGTTTCTGGTCAGGCTGTCTTCTAGTCATTAGGACGGTTCTGACTCTGCAGATGCTATTCTGTTCTCAGAAGCTGTTGGTACAGTCATTTCCACCTTTTTCCCTTTTTAGGTGAAAAAGAAAAATCTTGTTTGTTCTTTAAGTGTCATTTCTGACAGAAAAATGAGGAGAAAGGCAAGAATCAGAATTGGATTTTACAGTGCTTTAAAAAACCTGTATGAATCCTGAATAGGGACTACTCTGCAACCATGTAAATACTTGCAGTGGAGGCCACTTTTATGTATGTTCTGTGTAGAACGGAGCCATTGCTTAAACACGTTTAGAAGCTGTGGTCATATAAAGCTATATATTCAGCTTGTTCTTTACTTGGATCCTCATGATGAAAATTCCTTCCAGAAACTCCAGGTTCACCTGGTTCCAAATCTACGTTCCTATCTTCATTAGTCCCCTAATTACTTGGCTGAATTTTACTTTTCAGGAAAACACTGAGGAAGAG